CAGCTGTATCTGACTTAAACATGGTTTATGCGGCTCATCTGCATGTCCATGTTGTTTACAGTTTTTTGACGAAACTTGAATGAACATTTTAACAAAATAGATTGAAACTTGTTACATAAGTAACAAAACTACATGAAAATAATAATAAAACTATGTGAACAGAATAAGAAAGCTATATGAAGAATATTATTATAATATAACACTACGAAAGAACCATTAAATATATATATTTATTTTAAATTTTATTTATAAAAATGAAGCTTCCCGACGAGGAATCGAACCTATGTCCGCCGAGTGACGGGCGGAGATACTGACCACTACACTACCGAGGAGATGTTTTCTCAATAACTTTGTATTTTATATTCATAATTTAATTTATCACATTCTGCGAATAATGTCGAGCGTTATTCACACAGCTCTGTGAATAACGTTTAGCGTTATCGGCAGAACGAAATCTGTGAATAACGGCGAGCGTTATCCGCACAGCTCTGTGAATAATCACTTCGGATTTTTATTAGTTTGAATATTTTAAAAATAATGTTAATCTTTTTACTAAAATTTACCGGTACAATTTTCTCAGTACAGTACAAGCGTAGCAACTGTAGCACATGAATACAGGGTTTTATTAGGGTTCATGTTAGGCCATAGATTTTAGGTTTGAAGATTTATGCTTACAACCGAGGGGAGTAAATTTTGGGGTGAATTTACGATCGCGTTAGGGAAGACAAAATCTACGAATGAATGAGTTAGGGATTCTGTCTTAGCATTCATCATTCAGGTTGCATAGAGTTGTAGAGTTTTCAAAAATGGATGAGCATGGGCATGGAACGGTTAATTTAAATGCTCAAGTTGGAGGGACTAAATTTACAGTGCAATTTAGGCTTGAGTTAGTCTATACTGAGTTTAGATTAGGAAACTAAATTTACAAGTTTTGGAACCGTAACCCGCGCGCTAACCCACCCAAGTTGTTTGCTAATTTTTAACTACTTTTTTGGCAGACGTGTATTTACATTAATTTTTCTTTTTTACATTTACATGGCCATCACTTTTCTTGCAGTGACAGGTCTGCCGTCACTGAAACAAAGATGGCGGCAGTGGAAATTTAAAAAAAAAAAAGAATACTACAAAAACACGGTTAAATTTGCGGCGCGGATTGTGTAAATTAGAAAATTGAAAATGTACCTAAATATTATTTTAGTCTTATAATATTATATACTTTAAGAATATAATTTTCAAAAAAACAAATACCATACCGATTCATTACAAAAAGTATTTTTAAATATTTATTGTATCGTTACTCTTGTTTGAAAGGTCGGCTAAGCCAAATTAGGCAAAGTCTGCTATAATTAGGACAAGTTTAATAAAAGATGTTTACATCTATTATATTGAGTAATAGCGGAAGTCATTTGATTATTATTTTTTCAATGTCCTAAGCATTTATTTTTATTTATATTTTAAACATGAAAGAGTTCCTTAGATATATTTTTTTTTAAAGAATAAACATAAAGTTTTGAACATTTTTAAATGCTCATCCACATATTGAACATTTTTCAGTTAAAAAATATATTCGTTTATTTCATTGGCTTACCAAAGGCCTTATTTACAAGCTTTTTTTTCTAGACCTATTATTATTAATATAATTTAATATAAAAAGCACTCTGACAGTACTGACAGAGTCTCTGTCTACTAAGGATTGTAGATCCTTAAATGCCTTAAAATGTTTTCCAGTCATCATCCCCTTTGGAACTTAAACGCACCCTGAAAGCCACCCCCCCCCCAAAAAAAAAAAAACAACAAAAAAACAACAACACCATGTCTTGCACCATAATAAGTATTATTAGAAATAAAATTTATATGACTCTCTCTCTCTCCTCTCTCTCTCTCTTTTCACTTAAATGTTAATGAAAACATGTATTTGAATACTGGGTCAATATAATAATGAATTATTAGGGTTTTATTTATTCAACAATAAGTATGTTCTTTGGATCAAGTGATACCTCAAGTTTTAAATTTAAGTCAAAGTGGAATAACTATCTAGCAAAGTTTTTAGATAGGCTACTTATCTTTTTCGCTCAGCTTTGTAAAGGGATTATGTCTTCAATGCCACGTTTAAGTCTCTTGGGGAGCGTCCATTAATTACGTCAACAATTTGAAAGCAATTTTGACCCCCTCCTCCTTGTCAACAACTGTCAAACTTTTAATGACACCCCCTTCCCAAGTAATTATGTAACATTTTTATACCCCCTCCCCCAAACAAACAAAAAATAATAATATAAATAAATATATAAATACATTTTACTTTGTGCTGATCAATTTTTAATCTACAAAATTGCAGGAAACACATTTTATTACATCTTTAGCTTGTTAATCAACTTACACCGTTTTTACACTTAGTCCATTAAGTACGTCACGCTATTTTTGACAATTTTCAGC